TATATATATATTGGCCCATTTTCTGTCAGAGCCAATAGCCAGTTGATCGTTACTGCGAATACTGTTATTTACAAGCTACTTCAGGAATGCACTGCAAAATTTGTTGTGTGTGCTTGTAAGTGACCTCACTCCTCCAGTATTTGCTGAGAATGTGATAGGACTCTTATTTATACTAAAACTTAAATATTTATTGGGGAAGCTGTCCCTCACAGGACATATATCCTGTTTCTCAATACAAAATCCAAGTAACCAAACATGCATCACATCTTGATTATTACAATTATTTATTCTATAGGCTGAGCAAATCATCCCTGGATCACCTGAAAAAGTTCCAGAAAGCTGGTGTATTGCTACTAGTTAAACTGCAAATTGAGTATGCTTCTCACTGATATATAATAAGGTAAGCATCTATGTTTTAGTGTTCCCGCTATGTTATGTTTAGAGTAACTTAGTTCAATGAGATTCTCTTTTCCTACCCAGTTTTCCTTAATTTTTTGAATTTTCAGGTACAGTAAATGTTTCCTTTGAAACACGAGTCTTCTGACAATGTCCCAATTTGTTGCTTATAGGGAGTAAAATCTAACACAGCAACCAGACACAGAGAAACCCCAATAAAAAGAAACTATTCACCCAAAACTAACCTTCGTGCTGTTCTTTCAGCTTCTCCAACTCCGTCTTTTGTAACTCCAGTTCTCTGACCTTAGCTGCCTGTGCTAAAAAACAGAAAAAAAAATTAAAAGTAAGACATAATTCAGTGAATTAAAGCAGTGGTTTCTTGTGCCATTACATACTACTGTACCTTCATTCTCTTTCTGTAAGTGTCTAATCTCTGCTTTCAGTTCAGCCAACAAGGCACTCATCTCTCTCAGAACAGAATTGATGTCAGGTTTACATGTTTCTTCAGGGTCAGAGGTTTGTGCTGTTTCCATTCCCCGATTTAAAAGTGGAATAATTTTGCTGTCAGAGTTTATTTCAAGTCGAACTGTAGAGAGAGTGCAGATTAGCAGCAACAATGGAAAAAACACTGTCATGTTGGATCTCATGGAGTCTGTGCAGTTCAGTGTTTTTTTTCTATCTTAGCTCCAGCCTTATACAGGGAGTGCAGAATTATTAGGCAAGTTGTATGTTTGAGGA